TTCCTCGCTCGCTAGACTTAGTCGGATCGCCTCCATCATCATCATCTCTTCCAGATCGTCTATGCGATTCCGCCTCGAGCTCTGGCGAGGTGGCGCGATGTTACCGGACCCTTCTTCCGCCGAGTCGGCCTCGTGGCCAGCTCCACGCCTATCCGTGAGGAACGCCAGCGCCTGCAGCGCCGGGGATCCGGTGCGCGCATTGGAATTCTGGGCTTCGGGCGCGCCGTTTCTCCGCATGACACTCCTTCTTCCCAGGCCAATCCGGGAATCATTTCCAGCGCCGTTAGAGTGCATCAAGTAAGCTGCAGTATGAAGGGCAGTTGCTGCTGCCGACCGCCGCGCCGCATGAGCTCGAGCATTGGCAAGCTTCTGAGCCCAGTCGGGACGAATCCTATCGGTAGTGATCACAGTTGGATCGTTTGCAGATAACGAGGTCGCGCGTCGACGACCGGTGGTGGGGGTGTTCCCGGAGGATAGGGAGGATGTGGAAGACAGTGGAGAGGCCACATTGGGGCGCGAGCTCGGATCAGAAGCGTACGCTAGCCCTCTCCGGAACGGCGGGGGCGCATATGTCACCCCAAACTCCGGCTGGACACAGAATGGACACGCCGAGGGTTCCGATACTAGCTGGCAGTCTTGGCTTTCGGCTTGTTCACCACCCTCAGCTGGAGCAGAATCTGGGTTAGAATCCCCATGCTCCGGCGGATGAGGGTCGGGACGTTTAATCTGAACAAAACATTCGGAGCATATTGGCTGGTCGCAACACCTCGTCCGATTGAGATACGGAGGATAGTACAGAAAACAGATAGGACATTCCGCCGCGTCCTTATATAGGTATGCTTCAATGGGTTGTCCGTTCACAAACGGGTCACGAGGCAACTGCATTTCACGTGAAGCCGCATCAGACTGGATTCCATGCTTCGGCGTGGTTAGCGACGCAAGAGTCTTGGCTCGCGCTCTAAACAGTGGTGAGCTCGATGTGCCGGACGCGATAGGAGATGTTGGGGAGGGGAGGGAATGTGCGGGCGTGGAAGACTGGGAAGCATCGGATCCGTATGACTGCGATCTTGACGTTATGGGGACCATCAAATATTGCACTGCGGCTGAGTCCGAAGCCTCCTTTGTGTCTTCCGTGGCCTTGGGTGGGTTCTTATATTCCAGCTCAGGGGGGATCTCGTCGGGAGGGGGAATGGGAAGCCCACGCGCCGCAGCCATAAGCTGGTGCTCTGTCCACGAGTCCGAGAAGTCATTCAGTCCTCTCCAAAACGGCGCAAGTCGTCGTTCGATCTATAGAGAAATAGTCAGCATCGGCTTTGGGTTCTCCAAGGCCAGATTTGGCAGCGCGGCAAGCTTACCATTAGCTGTCGCACCACAGCCTTGTTGAAATCCTCTGGGCCCGTATAGACACCCTGGGTTACCAGATAACCGCCATCCACATGTTCTTCTCTCATACTACGCTCCCGCTCCTTGAGCCGAGCTACCCGCTCTTTCTCTAGCCGGCGAGCCTCTCGTTCCTGCCTTGTTTCTCGTCGATGTTCGAGCGTGGCCAAATCTCGCTCTGAACTTCCGCCAATTCCGAGCAGGGACAGATCGGGCCGGCTACCCCGATTCGACCTGGAACCATCACCATGGTGGCGGTCACCATATGGGCCATGGTGATGACTGCGGCGACTGGACGAAGCAAGCGGCCGGCTCTCTTTTGCCTGAGAATTGCCCATCTCGAACGAGAATGGGGACCGACGTGTAAGCCGACAATAGTAGGGTTGGATGACTGGATAAGGACGGGTTAGAGTCGACGGTGAGATTGGCAAGAGGCGGTCCGGATAAGAAAGCGGAGAAGGGAGCGAGCGAGGTTCCCGTCCGGTAATGAGAGGAGGAAAGGGACTAGCGATGGTCTGAAGAACGAACGCCCCGAAACACAGGAAGAAAGAAAATGAGGATCCAAAAATAATAAGTGAAGGGAAGGAAAAGGTGGAGCACACTTTAGAGGACCCTCAGTTGGTAGGGCGGGGAGGGGGATGGAAAAGAGATGATGCTAAGGAATCCGAGTGGCCATGTGAGCGACTGAGGTCGAAGCTGGAAGCGGCGATGAGATCAGACGTGCGGGCTTTAGTTAGCCGCGGGAAGACTTGGTATGGGGCCGGATCAGGGGGGGGGATATGTGGGTGTGGGTGTGTTGAAGGAGGAGGAGTAATGTAGGGGGAAAGGATCTTCGTAGCAAAGACTACTTTTGGATATTGAGGAAGAGTGACGATTGACAAACCTACTTAAGTAGTTAAGCGATGAAGAGGAAGAAGAAAATAAGTTTCAAAGGGGGAAGAAGAGAAAAGGGAAAAGGGCAGAAGATCAATGGCAGTTTACTGTTCAGTTCCAGTCAGTTTTACGGGGATTACAACAGTTACCAGCTGGTAAAAAGCAGGCCGGGTCGGGTCTGGTGCCGTACGAAAGATTACCTGATCATTCCCTCCGGATCCACTTTTCACCCGCCAAATCATGCCGCGGCTGAGTATCGGCCCGACTGTTACATTGTAATGGAGGCTGAAACCCATTTATTGCTGTTGCAACTTGCATCTCGTTCCAATGGATACATCGAGTCTTACATCAATCATTCTTCCATTTGTTGCTGAGTTCTCCCTGCACAAATTTTTTATCTTTCCTTTTTCCACACACCGTACTTTCTTGTCACCATGGTAGAGTCATGCCATGCCATGCCATGCCAACTCAAATCCATGCGGCGAGGACACAAGAGGCCTGTGGCTGAGAATGGCAGGCCTGCGCCACATCTCCATACCCGGTCTTGGCGGCCCGGAAAATCCCTCGGCCAATAACTGATCCTATCGTTATTTTTTCGGTCTCGAATAACTACTATTCCAATAGGGTCTGCTTGATGCTTCGTTGGAAGCCCATCTGACCAATTTCCAGAAAATCCTCTTTTTTTTTCTTATTCTACTTGGATTTGATTTCTCACCGAGTGTCAAAGACAGTCGTTAGGCTGAATGCGCTTGTGACTGACCTACGCGCATTTTTTTCCTCCGATCTCTTCGCCGTCACCTGCACTGCTACCGTACTCAGGTATCTATCTATCGATCGATTGGGCAAATGACGACCACACCGTCCGATACGAAGCGCCTGCATATCACTCCATTCACCCCCGATCTTCTACCGGCCGTGCTCCCTGCATCGATCAAAGCCCTAGCTACGGAAATCTCCTTCCATTGCATCCCAACCTTCCCCGAAAACAACTACGGCTACGTGACCCTGCCAACCATGGAAGCCGACAAAATCAAAAAGAAGCTGAACGGTTCCATTCTCAAGGGCAAGAAGTTCAAGGTCGATACCGCTCGCCCAAAGAAGAGGTCAAGAGATGAAGAAGAGGAAGTCGACACTGCTCCCCAGAAGTCATCAGCCGATAAAAAGTCTTCGAAGAAATCCAAGAAGCTGAAAGCGGGCGAGGAAATTCTGGATGGCTATGAGCTCCCGAAGGATCGCCAAGTAAAGAGGGGCTGGACCGAGTCGGCAGATTCGAAGCAGGAAAGGCGCAAGGAAGAGAAGAAGAAGAAGAAAAGTAAGGACGAAAAGTCCGCAAAGTCGCAGGCCAAGTCCAAGTACACCGAAAAGGCCGAATGTCTGTTCCGAACAAAGCTACCACCCAATAAGGCCTCCGCCGACGAGGCTACAGAGACAAAGTCCAAAAAGAAGAGCAAGAAATCTGCGCAGGAAACGGTGGTTCATGAGTTCTCCAAAACCGTTACACATCCGAGTTTCCTACGTTCTGGGGAGGAGCAATCAGCCCCAACAGTTGGATTCGAGGAGGGTAAGGGCTGGGTAGATGAAGCAGGGAATGTGAAAGAGACGGCCAGCGATCGGATAAGAAGCGATAAGTATAGACCGGGACAGGTAGCCGGAGCCAAGGAGAAGCGAAAGGCGGCAAAGGTTGTGAGGGATGAGTCTTCCCCTCCCAAGAAGGCCACAGGTCAAAAGAAAAAGGCCGTCGAGGAAGTAAAGTCCGATGAGGAATCAGAAGACTGGACCTCGTCTAGTGGGGAGAGTTCCTCTGAGGAAGATTCTACAGACTCCGAAAGCGATCAGGATTCAACTGCTTCAACGGGTGAGTCGATCGATTCATCCAGCAGCGATGATGATACATCAGTTCGGTCAAATAAGCGCGAGCAAGAGAAAGTGGCTTCCGAATCAAAGCCCGCCGTGGATCAAAGTGCATCATCAAACGTGAATGATAACCCACCGCCCTCTCAAACTGTCCACCCACTGGAGGCACTTTTTAAGAGACCCCCGCCGGGTGCACCTGAAGCGAAGCCTGAAACAGAGGGGGATGCGCCGTTCAGTTTCTTTGCGCAAGACGATTTAGAATCGGAAGATGAAGCAGAAGTCAAGCCGGCCGAACCGCAGACGCCTTTCACCAAGAGGGATCTGCAAGACCGAGGATTGAGAAGCGCTGCTCCGACCCCCGACACGGCTTTGATGGGTCGGGGAATTAACTGGAAGACTGCGGGACGGCCTGATCCTATGGATATAGATGATGAGACGCACCTGAATACTCCAGTACCCAAATCCGCGCCTGGGCCGAAGGAAGACTCAGACTTTACCAAATGGTTCTGGGAAAATCGGGGAGATAACAATCGCGCTTGGAAGAGGAGACGACGTGAGGCTGCTAAGGAGCAAAGGCAGAGGGAGAACCGCAGCAAGGGGATGAAAGGAAAATCTTAGAAGACGATGCTTACCGCATGAATCTTGCAAATAGCTTTGACATTAGATATTGCATAATTGGCATGCTTGCCCAGGCAAGCGTCACTTTCAACTTCGTCTCACAACCTGTAATTCTGGATTCGAGCGTAGGCTGCACGCTAGGGGAGCAAGTTACAGGAATGGTCGTGGACTATCCGTACAATCGATGGTATGGTTTATTGTTAGCTTTTGATACTCTGGTGTCTTCAATTGAGGACTTGTAGATCACGTGGTACCAAGAATTCGGGGATGGATCGGAGGTCTGGCCTTTCCGCCTTCAGGCGCCAATAAACCATCATCTCCGCGGCAGCAATGAAGACCGACACGTCAACTCTTGATCCAAGGGGATAAGATAACCACCCCTCTCACAGCGAATTCGCCAGCCATGGTACTACGGCATAGCGCCTCTAGGGTGCTGTTTCTTTTCTCTGCTTTTCTACTCTGGACTTCTTTTGCGGTGGCTTCCTGTAAGTCACCCCCCGATCGTCTGGTGTTCGATGCTGGCTCCGCTTTTACTGTCAGGAAAAGAGAGGCTAATAGTCAGAACGCAGCCCCCGCGTCATTCTGCAAGTGCACCTGCTTTTCCAATAGTACGATTATCCCTCTCGATCCCGACTCTTCCGAATCGACATCGGCCTTGAACGGTGTCTCCCATTTCCTTCGTCGCAGCGATGATACCGCTATTTTGGATACAAGAGCGAAGAATTATCGCTCTTTGAACTGCAACGATTGTAACCGGAAGTTCTGCTTGGACTATGACTTGCCCACCTGTCATGGTGCTAAGGAAGATGATGTCTTTACCACCTGTTTCCGTATGATTTCCCCTCCTCCCCCCAAGTCACTCGCCAGTGTTCGTGCTCTGCTAACATGTCGTCTGTACTTCAGAGAGAGACTCCCGGAAAGACCAAGCCATTGTATTCATGTTTATCATTGCTACTGGCAGTCTGCTTGCCTGGGCGACACTTAAGCCTTGGGTAGAGAAGTGGCTCGAGGTATCTTATTCATCAGGTCCACGGCTTTCTTTTACGGAAGCGCTGACTCGTTCTAAAGGCTGCGAGAGAGCGGCGGTTATATATCCCAGTGTCCGAAAATGCTGGTCGTTAGGGACACATGTCATATCCAGATTATACACAATCATAGTCCGGTACCTTTTTACCGGGAGACCCAGTCCAGTCGCTCGAGGCCATCGAAGCCGGCCATCTGCGGCACCAGGGGTAAAATGATTCGACGTCTCGAACGATCATCAGGGTCGGAGCACGACTCACGCTCGACATGTGGTTTGACACGTGCTACCGAATGCATGTCTTGGCATAACAACACATGAGCATAACAGCTCACAATTGTCGTCTCAGAAAGATCATCTTTCCCTTTTATGGTGGGCATACCATGGCAAATTGTACAGATCGGCCGGTGCCCTCCCACTTCCAAGCAATATTTCACAACTTGTTACCCGAAGAGTTGCTACTTAGTTGTCTGATTGTAAATACAACCTTCTTGTAAATTCAGGGCAGTTTCAGTGTTACTTTCATATCCCATATACGAACAAGAGCTACTCCCGTCGACATATCTGTAAAGATAGGACTGATATTCGAGATCGATCTATGCCTTTCACTTACCATAGTATCCATTATTCTCAATCATTCGAAACACTTTATGGCTAGGATATGTTGCAGGGATGTAAGACAAGTAGTATGTCCATCCTGTCTTTCAATAGTTAACCTCTGGTGACAACATCTGGCATGAAATCCAGACAAAGTGGCAAGGTTCACGGTCTAGACCATGCAATCGACGACACAATTGCATAAGTAGTGTTATGCCAATCTACTCCACACAAGATCATGTACTGTGGCTGGCCTGTCCGGGGTCTTCAGATGAAGCTTTGTCTTGTTCCAGGCAACATGACCGGATTCAGTCATGAGTGGGTAGCAGCTTCCGGATAGCGGAAGTTGATCGTAAAGTCTGACACAAGCCAGATGGTTAACCTAGCTGTACATGGCACCTGCAGTGTCTGAACTCTGAAGTACTAGTAGTTTATCAATTCATCGAGTTCGAGGGGGAAGATGGGGTGTGATTGGTGTACGTATTTGCTGCTTGTCGGGGGTTGCGGGGCGCCCCGGGTTGAAGTGGCCCAACAGTGGATACGAAATCGGTTAGTGGGAATTTTTAGTCGCACTCACTAGTTAGTTAACTGAACTAACTCTTTACTATAACTATCTAGAGACTACGGACGTAGTAACTACAAGAGAGATTCATATCCCTGCGGATTGCGGGGAGATTTTTACAATAATCATAAATTTCTGCAAACATACCATTTGTGTGATTGACCGGCATGCTCGCCACCTGCAAGCTTTCCTGCCCTCGGAAGCCGGAAACCAGTCCCTACAAAGGAATGTAGCACCATCCATCCCCCCAATATACTTCTACTGGTAATAAATAGAATATGACAGCCGTCTATGGATACTGGCATGTATGTATGTGGACATCCAAGGAAATTCCGGTTGCAGCTCCGGCCCCTGGGGCTCGACTGAACCTAAATTGTGCCGGTGATACAACAGATTCTGTGCACTATGCGCCCTTATAGAAAAGCCAATGTTCCCTGGCGGGAAAAGAGCACCGCTTATTGGAAAGCTGAAAATTTTCACAACAGGGGAAAGTTTGGTTGGCAAATCAAGAAAGTCGGATAAGAAGGGGGGTTCCATACAATTCGACCACGATTGACCCTGGAACCGCATCACTTGGACGAACCCGCGTCCTGTCAGGTGGCGCCCGCTACTCTTAGCAGGCCACTACTAAGAAAGACTTGTTGTACCTTACTTCATACACCCACACATTCAAATCCCCTCTCTTGTCTTTTCTGCAAGAAAATGACTACCCTTTGGTTCCGAGAACCAGTCAACCTGCCTTTTCACTGTCTCCACTTCTCCACCGTCGCCTTTTTTATTGCCGTTCCCTTTCTTTCTTCTTTCCAGCTTCCCGCTCTCTCTTTCGCTCTTTAATCCGCTGCTCTTTCTTCAAGCTGAGACACTTGGCCACCGATCTCTTCAGAATCCTCCAGTCTCTGCTTCCCTTCCTGCTACTGCGTCACCTTTTTTTTTTGACCCAGAGCGAAAGCATTCAGTTGGTTTCGTCGGATCGAGAACGAACGAACTCATTACCAGTCTATCGACAGTTGGGTGGTGTTCTTTGCGTTCGGCACTTCCCAACAATTCTCGATCTGCACTCTCAAATCTGAGGCAAACCAGCACATTCCAAGAGGAGGATCAGTAGCAAGGATTTTATTGTTTTGCGGAGGGCTTGCCGTAAGAAACTTGGTTTTTTGTACAGAAGATGGTATTAACACTGCAGCAAAGACCAACCGCCTCGGACCATAAGTTTCCCACCGTTCAGCTCTTCCTTCTATGTATGCAGACCCCTTGTCTTTTTGCTGTCTTTGCTATGCTAACGTCTGGTCCTGGGTAGCAATATGCCGCGTCGCAGAGCCAATTGCCTTGACTTCCATTTTCCCATACTCATGGGTAATGGTCAGGGACTTCCATGTGGCTGATGCCAGCAGCGCCTCTTTCTATGCCGGTATTCTTGTCTCTGCATTCTCCCTTTGTGAAGCCCTCACCGGTATGTTTTGGGGCGGTCTTTCAGACCGTGTCGGCCGCAAACCTGTTCTCATCTCCGGCTGCTTTGGCACGATGCTATCCCTCCTCATCGTGGGTTTCTCCTCTAATTTCTGGGTGGCCCTCTTCGGACGGGCCCTTGGTGGAATTTTAAACGGGAACATCGGTGTGATCCAGACCATGGTCGGTGAATTGGTCAAGAATCCAGAGCATGAACGTAAGAAGATCCTCGTATTCCCTGGTCGTGGCGGTAAACTGTTAGTTGGAGCTGCTGCTGACTGTGCGCACCTATAGCCCGCGCTTACGCTGTGATGCCTTTCGTGTGGTCTATCGGTACGATTATCGGGCCAGGTAAGTGTGCTGGAAAATTTCAAGGTACAAATGGACACAGATGTTAATGGGTTCATCCAATAGCGATTGGAGGTTTGCTGGCAAAGCCTGCTGAAAGTTTCCCCTCCCTGTTCTCTATGAATGGCCTATTTGGCAAATTCCCTTACCTTCTGCCTAATCTCGTCTGCTCCGGATTACTTCTCTGCAGCATCATCTCCAGCTGGATCTTGCTCGAGGAGACGCATCCCGATATGCAACCGTGCAGTAGGCCAGATGACCTGGATCATCCTTCCGTGGAGCGTCCTCTACTTGCAACTGCAGGAGCTACCGCCAACGCAGGCGCAGATTTACGTGCAGAGTCCTACGGTACTTTCAACCAAGTCCATCTCCATGAAGATGAAGATTGGACAGTGTACGTCGATGGTTCGAAGCCCGAATCCACTCCGCAGAAGCCGACTATTTTCACATGGCGAGTGACCATGCTCATCATCGCCTTGGCAATCTTCACTTACCACTCGATGACGTATGACCACCTGTTGCCCATTTTCTTGCAAGACAAGAATGCCAGCAGCATCGCCATGTCGTCGAATTCGGCGTTCCGTTTTCCGGGCGGGGTCGGCCTCTCAACTCGAACCGTTGGGCTGATCATGTCAAGTGATGGCATAATTGCACTTGTCATCCAGAGCCTTATCTTCCCTTTCCTGGCTCAGCGCCTGGGTGTCTGGCGGCTCTTTGTTGTCGTCACCATTCTTCATCCGCTAGCCTATTTTATCGTACCCTTCCTTATCTTCGTTCCCAGCCAACATGTGATCTTCGGCATCTACACCTGCTTGGTTGTCCGCAACATCCTCTCCATCATCGATTACCCCGTCCTTCTTATTCTCATCAAACAGGCCAGTCCCTCCGATTCCGTTCTCGGCAAGATCAATGGCCTCGCGGCCTCGGCTGGCGCCTTCTCACGCACGATGGCTCCACCGATTGCAGGCTTCTTGTACAGTACGGGTTCCAAGATCGATTTCACGGCCCTGGCCTGGTGGGGAAGCACTTTTGTCGCAGCCATTGGCGCTGTGCAGCTCTTCTTCATTGAACAAAAGAAACATGCCTCTATCACGGTTCAGCCAGCTGCGCATTGCCACTATGCGTCTCATGCCACGCCAGTCAAAGATGAGACTGTCCATATCATTGTGACAGACGTTGATGGCGATGGGACTGGCCATGTATAGGAGGACTATTGTTTGAAGGCAACGGTAGGACTCATTCATGAGACTTATTCGCGTGCGAGCTATGCGTTCTATCTTGCATACTATGAGACCATGATATCGTTGTTATCGAAAATGTTCATGATTCGCTGTGCTGCATTCTAGCGCTCAAAAGGTGTCCCGGAGTCTATCACTGTATATAGAACGAAATAATAACAAATCATATACTGCATATAAACTTGATCAAACGTACACATCCGTTTAGCATTTGCGTCCGTCTGGGGTCCTGTACTCGACTGTCGATGATGCAAACAAAGGCGGTAGGACGAGTTTTGGCTGCCCCCATCGCAGGGCGGTGAGAAATCCAGGGTTTTTGGCCGATTACCACCACCTCACTAACGCAACGCTAGTCCCTATTAGGGTTAGTTTTGTTTACCGCGACATCCTGGCAACGGGCCGAAAATAATCATCATCATAATAAACGCCGCCTCGAACCTCATCACAAACTCCGCATTGTTGTCCCTCCCCACGAACTCTGGGACTGCTCCATACCCTTTCCCATCGATTGGTGTTGGGACGCTAGTCCACACTATCGAGATCTCCAATCTCGTCTCCCTCAAGAGAGATACTTTACCCACCGTCACCATGTCTACCCCGTTATCCTCCTTGACACCCTCGCGCCAGAACTCTCGAGCCTTCTCGCCGAGCTATGGCAAACCTGCTTTTGCTGTAGAGGAGGACGATATGGATGCGCCTGAGGATCCCATATCGAGCCCCTTCAAAGTGTCTACAGAAGTCCAAGAAGAAGATCCCATCCCTGAGCACGATGTCTACGAATCGCACGACGATCAGGTTTTGGACAACGATGATATTGAATCAGTGATGCCAGCACCTAGCTCGCCGTTCCAGTTCAATGCAAGAGAAGAGACTGTGGACTTCCAGAGACTGCGGGCCCTCAATCGGCGCATGTCTTCAGGGGGCATCGGTGACCACTCCATGACGCCTAGAAAGCGCTCCTACGAGCAAGTCCCTGACGGTACAGATGGTGATGAGACCCCAAATGATAGATACAAGAAGGGTACTGGTCCGAGAAGCTCTCCAGATATCAATGTCTACGCTGATGAGGACGTTGACTTCGTTGCTGATCACGACCTGGAAGAAGGTGCTGGCCAGGAAGTTGTGAATAGCATGGTGGAGGAAAATAACAACGAAGGCATGAGCACTGTCCTCCATGAGAATGATAAGGACAGCTCCCAAGAAATGGATGAGAACCTTGACTTGCAGGAAGCAGACGACGCTATGACGGATGACTTTAACGAATCTATGGATGAGACACGCCTCAGCACATTCTCCGCTATTCCAGATATGACCACTTTCGCACGACTTCGAACTGATTCGCCTTACAAGACATCACGACCTCATCTAGGCGACGCGGAATTGGCCAGTCCTTCCCCCGCAAGGAGGTCACCTCGACGAAGCATTCTCAACAATATGGGAACCCCTCTTGCATCCCCTGCACCACGAAAGCGAGAATCAAGAAGCATACATGATACGACTAACCTGCTTGATCTGACCGATCAGCCAAGCATTTACCCCCGTCAGCGTTATAGTGTACAGAATGAGCGCTACTCTCCTTCCCGCCGATCTCCCTTGAGGACCGCCAGAGACTCCGTAAGATCACCTGCAAAGGCTTCCCTTTTGGACTTTGACATCCCTTCTGTGCCTACTCCTCGGTCAATTCCAACGGTCACTCCCCGGGAGCTTGAGACTCTGAAATCCGGCTTCCTCTCCGAGATCTCTTCCCTCAAGGCCACTCTCAGCGGGAAGGAAGCGGAGGTTGCCAGTCTCAAGCAGGCAGTTGCAGACGCAGAACGCCGCGTAGGGGAGGCTCTAGAAGAAGTTCGTAACGAAGTTGCGCGCAAGGAATCTCTGGAATTTGAGCAAGCTGAGTGGCAGCGGAGGGGCCAAGAAATGGAAGATATCCTTAGAGAAGTGAGAGCTGAAATTGTCGAGGGTGAGCAAGAGAAAGAACGATTGGCGAGGAAGGTGGATGAGGCAGAGAAGTCTAGGGAGCAGTTGGAGGGCCGAGTGGTCGAACTGGAGAGTCAGTTGGCTTCGGCTCTCCAGTCTGCCTCCTCCGCTGGGAACGCAGCCCCTGAAAATACGTCTCGCACCAAGACGTCCGAAGAGACTGCCAAAGAAGTGCAAGACGCCGTGGAGAAAGTTGCACGTGAGCTTCATACGCTTTACAAGAGCAAGCACGAAACCAAGGTCGCTGCATTGAAAAAGAGTTACGAAGCTCGCTGGGAAAAGCGCGTGCGTGAAGCCGAGAATAAGCTGACTGCTGCCAACGAAGAGAATGAGCGACTGAGAATAGAGCGAGATGCCGCCGTGTCAGAGCCCCCACGAGTCGACCCTAGTCTATTCGCACAGGAGCGGGAGGAGCACGAAGCAGAGAAGCGTGTGATGGAGGCACAGGTCAAGGGATTGCAGCAGGAAATTACGGCACTGAAAGAAGACAACGAGCGCCTGCACGCGGAGCTGAAGCAGGAGCGAGCAGAGAAAGGCGAATTGGTGGCGGCTGTGGACGAATGGTTGGCAATCCAGCAGGACCAGCCCCCAGCACAGAGCGCCCCTCTGCCTTTGAGCACCAGAGAGCTTGAGTCGCCAGAGCCAGTGTTGGCCGCCCCGGAACCTTCCACTGAGAGCTTCCAGAGGAGCGTTAGCCGTGGCAGCACCTCAGGTGGCATTCGTCCTACAAGTACCACCTCGAGCAATGGCGAAAAGAGAATCCCTAGGATCGGAGCAGTGGGCAACAGACATGCTCGAGGCAACAGCGGCAGTAAGTCCGGGATCGCCCTCCCCACACCCGGGCGCAGTGGTATCATGGGATCCATTGAACGAATGGGCCGTGGTGGTGCTTAAAGCTTGCACTCTCATTCTGCTTTGACGATAATGTTTTCTTTCTTTTATTCCCTTGATTTTGATTCCCTCTTTGTGAATTCTGCAACTTCCTCGATATTGACTGGATTATTTGCTTATTGTATATTGGTATGGTTGTTGGCTGGGCACATACTATTCCTGGTTGAGATATCCCCGAGACGGCGTTTTTGGCTGAAGGCCATGGAACCCACGGACTGGTTTGATCAATGAATGACGGATTTATCGATGTAACGTGTTTATGCTTTTATGATAGCCCTTCAAATCTCTATTACAGTACGCTCTTGAGAAGTAATTGTCGACACATGCATTATCCAACGGTGGCCTTGATGTGGATTCTACACCTGGCCGGACTTTAGGACTCTATTCCGTGAGATAGAATCAGCCCTATACATTATTTAAATTTGGCAGAAAACTAAAGAAATAATGTCACGTACTCAATTCCACTTCCAAGACTGTCATCCTTCCAGGATACCTCCAAGACCATTTTCCACATCTACTCCTGAGTCTATTTTAAGTGCCTTTCAGGATACCTTCTAGAATACCCTCCTAATGCCAGCTCCACGGGCACTAACGGCGCTCATACTGGGGCTGAGACCCTAACGTAAGATAGTAAAGAACTACAGCAGTTGAAAATGATAGAATCCGAACAACACTGGTCTCCGACAGGTACTTCGATAAGATATTTCTTGTAAAGTCAGTCACATGATAGGGATAAATCTGTATATGCTAACTCTAGAGAGTTTCTATATAATGATATACAGAGTCCAAATAGCCATGGCGTTAGGGGAGAGAAAAAGGCAGTGTAATGTAAAGCCTTAAAAACCGTTATCTTAAGGCTAGTAATCATTTGCAGTCTTATAACCATTTATCACCCCTTTAAGACAGGAGGCCATGGATACTATTGATAATACCCTGGGGGTGGGCACCACAGAAGGTGTGAGGTTATTGAGTTGTGCGCCGTCTGTGAAGAAGAAGAAGGTAGGCACTGAAGTAACACCTGAATCGGCAGTGAGTTTCCCAAGGTCGTCAGGATCAACTTCGTAGAATATGATGGACGGGTAGTCGTAGCTGAACGAATCGAAGTTAGGGAAGAATCTTGCAAAGACCGGCCCAGTCAACGAAGAACATGACTATGGCTTGCTCTTCAGAGTCGATGACCCTTCTCGGTGAATTCAGCAGACCTAAAATGATGGGAATAATTTATTGATTTCTGAAAGACGGGTAGTCTGACGAAGGGCCAGCCTTCAATTATCTAGTTTATATATATATATGTGTGTGTGTGTGTGTGTGTGTGTTATTATTCAGGGTGATTCTTATAGCATCAGACAACCTTGCACACATACACACACACATCAAGTGTATAGATTTATATATATTTGTGAACTGTCGGACATCCCATGAGCTTACCTATGGAAGCCGGAAGTCGCCCATTAGCGAAGAGCGCTAGATCAACCCTGAAGAAGCATATTTACATGTCATTCAATATGACCACTATTCTATAACAGGTCATGACTTGGCCGAGCGTTCAATAGAATCGGTAAATTCTTCATTTCCCGGCATGCTGAGAATTAATATTATATACAGTGTATGTGTCTTTGGGAAGTTTAGTCCTAAGCATAAGTACTTAGTAGTGGATACGACTGACGATGAACAACAGATGGATGAGCGGGTTTATACTTGATCCCCTCGAAAAAAAAAAAAAAAAAAAAAATCCTTCCCTTTACTACATCTAGTCTTCAATGGCCTTGTCACCTTCGTGTACAGAAAGTCACTAGCAGAAATACAGGTAATATGCACTAAGACTAGGCGGGTATTAGTATTTGGATGTGCTCTTGGCTGCTGCTAGAGTGAGGGGTTCAATTCCGTCCCAATGCCACGTTAAGTTCACTCTATACGCCAGGCGTCGGGAACTGAATATATATATCTCAACTCGCTTATAGTAGGATTAAGGAGTAGTAGCCATCAGCTAATCACTCAACAGTATACGAGAATGCTGCCAATAATCTCACAAGATGTAAAACATCAGTTGCTTGGACGAAAATTTACCGGAGGAATAGTAGTATCTGTTCATCAGCTACAACTTGAATCCTGCTAACATCTGGCGGGGTTACCCCGCGATCTGCACCGCATCCATCAAAAATTGACAGACCAACACAAACTGTCCGCAGTTCATCGACTAGCTTCAATGGCCATCACATTTTTTTTTTCCAAAGTCATGCGGGAGTTTCCGAGCAGTCAATGAGTCAAATCCTGCAACAATCCCCTAAGGGATCAAATATTCACACCCATAGCCGGGGCCAGATCAAGTAGTAGCAGGAGGGGCATGCGACAGCTCTCCTTCTCCATCTGTCAGGCCCACCTCGTGCAGCGCAAGTCTTCTGACACGGACCTCTCTCGGACTCGCCTAAACCTTGTTAGCCACGCACGGTATGACTTCATTTCCGTCGTGGTGATGCCTTTATTCCGCCTGTGAGTTTACCCAGCCTTCTCTCTCCTCTTCTCCCCTCTCCCGTCCATCGGGTTACCGCTGGTGGCTTGCAGCAGACATGAAAGAACGTGGGGTGGCAAGCAGGGCCATGGCTCTCGGATTGCCATGTCCGAGCTCAAGCTTGCTCGGCAAGATGTCCGAGTGCGTACATAGAGAGGACCAACTGCGGCAGTTTAATGTATCTGCTGCCCCCTTGCTCAAGTCGAGCGGGTGAGGATACTCCGTACAGAAGTATAGAATGAGTCATGGGATTGGTATGTAATGTTAGTTATATCCCTCAGTTGTACTCTACGGGGTGAGGGCCGCTTATCGAGGGTATCCTTCCTTCATAGGTATGATTACCGGAACAGGCAAGACGCTCCTAGGCTCTCCCCGGATCTGGGGTTATCCGCTGGATGGTAAGTAAGTAGTGGGGAGCGTGCCACTGTGGCTGAGTATTTTTCTATCTGTGATTCCATGGTGGGAAGATGTCTACTTACTTTCTATAGGATATTAGGAAACGTGTGCGGGTGTTGCACTTTCATACTATCCACCAATTACGTACAGGATATTCCAACTGAACTAAGTAGTAGGCAAGGATAGGAGAGGGGCGCATGATATGATATCTTAAGTAAGGGGAAAAGGAATGCGAAAGATCAGGTTCCTGTCCATCTATCAATCTAAGAGAAGAAGTCAGCTCCCCCGGCCTCCCCGGGTTAGTTCTGAAAAGATAGCACGGAGCAGTCCGAGAACAAAGAAAAAGGGGGAGGTGAAACTGGGGCAAAGGCGGGAGAATGTTGGCTGGAGAAACTGGAGCTGGAAGGTTCGATCGCCCGCAATAGATGGATCAAGCGAAATTCGGCTCTGGGGTCGAAGAGTTGACCCAATTCCAATTCCATGCCCCCTTACTATTAATGGCAGCTGATGACTGGGGATGATACGTAACTTGCCCCAGACACGAAAAAAGCTAAGGCTACCGACTTCAAGTAAAACAACCGGCACCGTCACAGCTCCATTTCGCCAGTCCAGGGAAAAACGAGAAAATCCCGGTCTTTCCCCGATCGGGAGCAACTCCACGTTTCTGTGTCCAATTCGGGAGGCATTACGCGATTTATGATTGGTGGCCAATCGTCCTCCAGCCGACGGTTAGTCAGCTGTGGAAGTCCCACATGGGAATCCGCTCAAATGTCACTGATTGGTGTGGGGGAAATCCCTCGTGATGCGTCGGAGATTATCCACACGGGCCAATCACCACCGCTTGGGCGTTGGTTCGTTTTTCCCCCACGAATTACTACTTACTGTATACTTCCCTATACTACTAAATACTAAGCCACTGCTGGGTCCCCCGTATTTTCATTGTGGTCCAGTCACATCAATCTCTAATTACGGCATGGAAATCTCGTTGTTTTACCTTCTAGTAGTACTGCTTGCGAGGCAAAGGGTGAGCACAAGATATTCATGTGAAAATGGACAAACTATAACGGCTAGCACTTTTAAAATAGGAAGGTGTCTAAGATTGGAACCAAGTCGTTATAGTGCTGTGCCTTACTCACTCTTTATCAGGAATTGAGGCATGAACTGATTGACTACAACAAAGCTGATCCAATCACATATAGGTGTAGGGCTTTTCCCACAGTAGCGGCATGCAGCATGCTGTGATGGCACACATTGACAGCAAGGAACCGCCCTTCCATGCCACCCTTCATTACGACACTGTACATGAAACAGAAAGAGAGCTATCTGGTCTATCCACCTGGAGGGAACCGGAAGGCTCTAAGCTCATCATAGATGCCTGGTTCTACCCCAGTGCGCCAATCCTTTCTCTCTACTTGTGGGGTACCGAGCTCTTTCCTCCGATTCTCGCTGCTCCCCCGACCTCTTCTCTAGCCACAAATAGCCTTTGGCAATACGTACACACTACACACACTACTACACAGTAGTCTGCTGGCCCCTCCAATACTCCACTCGGGCGCCAGCTAGATAATATGATCCCGTCTGGGGGAGCGAGCTCACAGGTCACCCGCTCAGATTCTGGGCCGTTACGGCTCGCAATTTCCGACGGAACTATTGGACAGCGCCAACAGAACATTCTCTGTAACCTTGCGAGAGGGTTTGTCTCCTCCGGTTGTCGGCACTATTAAGCGTGACATCGGACCCTCTATCACGTGGATGAGCTTGTTGTTGATACTCCTTCCATGAATATGATTTGGGGAGATCACATTGCAGGGGTAATAATTCACGCAGGGTTTGGATGATGATTAATATTATTCATCCGTAAAGCCTAGTGGCCAGGTCTAGAGCAAGGTGTGCTTTGCACCCCATTGCTGCGATGATTTGTTTTGCTGCTCCTATGAATTTTGACTGACAACTCGCATGCACAATGTGTGTGTATGTGTAGCAGCAGCGCCAGCAGCATCAAGAATTTGGGGCCGATCCACCCGCGCGATATTTTGCCCCAGTCTGTGACCAGCACCATTTCACGACCCATTCAACACTACCTACATCCAGAAGTCAACGTCGGTTTGCTCCTATTGATGACGTTTACCTACAATTCTGATGCTGCTACAATTATTGAGGCTTTTTCTTCAATAATGATATTCTTCAATGCGTACGGGGGAACATTGTAAGGATCTAAACGACTCATCTGGAGAGGACGACTAGGTCTCGATGCGGCGGGCGAGCCGAATCCAAGGACTCCCGCTTTTCTCCAGTTCCTAGTTTCAGTGGGTCTCCCAAACAGTGACCGCATTTATTGAATTCTGCCCAAATAATTAATCCCCCGAACGAACTAAACCGCAGGATACCGTTCCCAACTCCCAGTGTCGTCCCAGGTTTGGTCCGGCCCAACGATTCGCCCCTCCATCGGCATGCGGGATCGGCTGCGATCCTACATTGGGCAGCTGGCGGGCGGGCCTGCCCTGCTCCTATCCCTCATGCTGCATAGCGCCTGGCAACTGGGCTTAGTCTCTCCCGGGTCTGGATGCTGTAGGCCAGCGACAACCACCTGGTCCATTATTAATTCCTGATGCATTGGCAATGGTACCTTGTAGTTGACTTCCTTACCCCCCCCCCCCCCCCCCCCCAAAAAAGGCCCTGCTGTACTACAACGTAACTTACTAAGTTTTCAACAGGGGGAAACGATATGTGCATGATCGTCATAAGTCCACTCCCTCTCCACCAACTTCAAGACTTAGTCCTCTCTGCCTCCGGCTTCGAGACCGCATGACATATGCACCGTCCGCACTGGATGGGCCATCGGAATACCGAGTGCAAACAAGCCGCAGGCTGCACGATTTCCAAGTCATTCTATCTAACGGATAGTTGTGTTGTGACAATGGCTAACTACTGACTCATACGTAGAGGGTTTTCCTCATCGCGATCCAACCAAGGAGACGACACTTCATCAAACATCAACAAAATGGATTCGTGAGTAAAGAGGACCGCTGTGCATGTGTGTGTGTCTTATCATAACGATCATCGAGGTAGGCTCCGATAGCGCAGAGAAATCCACCCTAGTCCGAGATCACCATACGCGCACAGTATATTACACAAAAGGAATAGTAGATAATTTAGAGAGCATACGGGATAATCTAAACGGAGCGCTTACGGGCCTCGGTTCCGTGGTATCTGGCTGGCTGACCCATACTCGGCTGTTCAGCAAAAGGGAGATCGTGAAGTGTACTCCGTACCGCAGGGGCCGATCCCCGATCAAAGAACACACAGTAGTAGACTTACGCTTTGCAATACGGATCCAGCGGGAGAGAAAATCTTATTAGAGACAAAGAGCCGAATGATTTACCTTCTGGTAATAATCACTATTTTCGAGCCTACCTGACTAACTGTCTGACTGACGTAAAAGGGGGCAATGGAAGGGAAGCCGACGGAAGCAGACCCGAGTTTCTGAGACGCCGTGCATCCATCTCCAGTCCAGAGTTGCGAGTAGTGCATGCAAACAAAAGAAAAGTCACAAGAGCCGGAATCTTTTCCGAAACCAAATATGACGCATCCTCCCTTGGTGTGTGTGTGTGTGTGTGTGTGTGTGTGTGTGTGTTAGTTAACTAACTGACTCCGGAAAAGTTACCGCACTCCTCCGTATGTATACCGCCCCGTGGCTGCATCCCTGCACGGAAGAATAGCGTCATGACAGTTTTGAGGATGTCCCAGGGTCAAAAGTAGTCGCGAAGGAATATTCTACAAAATAAAAGTTTCCCACTGCAAGCACCCGATGGGGAAAGGTTTCCAGAGTCTTGTGTCTTGTCTCATGGGGATTGGGGATAGCACGTTTAGTTCAGACCAATGGCAGGATCTTGAATTTGCTCCCGGTCCCCTCCGGTGGTGGCCAAGTTGCCGATGACTGGTTGTGGCGGACAGGGCCAGTAACGTGACCGGGCCGATGGAGACCAAACCCCCCCTCAATCGGGTATGGAAAACTGCCATCGCCTTCTTCTGGGTCCGTTGCTACTCCTTAGTAGTAGTGGGGAAGAGGAGGAAGAGAGGGAGGGGGGACGGGCTAAGAGGGCGGAAAATACGGAGTAAGGGGACGGGAGTTGGTTCACTTGACTGAAATGGGTAGACTACTACTTCCCTACTGTAGTGTACACATTGAGAAAAAAACCGGCTGTGGAACGGAAGCTGAGGAACTGGGTGGAAACCACTAAATACTTAGTAAGTACTTCACTAAACTTGTTTTGGTCGGAGGAGGAGGGGGTCCTGCGTTTGGTGGTGGATCTCTACAAACAGTCATGGATTTCTGAATGGTCGTTGGCATCTCCAGTGGGGGTGTTTTGTACAGTAAGCAAAGCGCAACGACTGGCCCAAAAAGACATCCGTAATCTGATTGTGTCTTTTTCATAGGTATTATTATTATTAAATTCTGATTATTATTTCCTTTTCCCCCACCACTCCGACTGGAACCCGCTTTTCCTTTTTTCCCAAGCCTCCAACTCCCCCCAAAAAGGGACTAGTCGATGCGGTCTGAGGTAAATACAGACCCGCACTAGCGCCGGCCTTCTTTTCTGGCCAGCGTGACTAGTGAGTATAGTCTAGTCCACGATAGGTAGCAAGAGTCTTTTCCACTACTCAACTAAAATCCCCCGGCGCGGTTTGACGACGACGATGACAACCCCGATGATGAGGATGATGATGATTAACCCGGGTCAGGTCCTCTTTTTCCTTTCCCCTAGTCTCAAAGTCTAGTACGGAGCACACCGTCCGCCATTGGGTTTCCACTTTCTAGGCGGAATTCCACGGTTCTGGTCTGGGGGAGGCGACCATGGCGAGTGGATCTGGGGCTCATCATCCCCAACGCCAACGCCTCCTGACTGTCTGGTTTTTTGACTGACGGTTGGAAAAGGCACTTGCGACATTTGCTGCTGCTACTGACACTAGTTCAATCGTACTTAAACATTCTCCTCCCCGGCCCCAGGTCATGTCTCGATTTTCGTCCCTTTGGACGAAAAGATTGGAACGTGGTCCTGTGATTCCTTTTTTCTCTTTCTCTCTCTCTCTCTCCCCCTTCCGGCGGAAAGTGATTCTCTAACTTAATTCCTGTATGGATTTATTTTAAATAAATTAAAAAAAAGAAAAACAGAAAAGGAAAAAAAAAGGAACATAAAAATCAAAAGGAACCCTCTCCACTCTTGTTACTTCTACCTCTTGTTGGGTCACGTTCTGGATTTCCTTCTCCTACTACACACCTCTTCCTCCACCTTTCTCTTGTTCTAACTCTTTCTACTTACTCCTTACTCCTACCCTCGCCATTTTTGTCCTATTACCTATAATCCTCTTTATCTACCAAGAAAGTCGCATTGTTTATCCTACTCTGATTATCGCTATACTACTCCACGCCGTTTCTCTACAATTTCTCTTCCACCATTGATACGACAAAAAGGCTGGCCTACTCACGGATGATCTGGTTCAACTGAATTCACGCTTTGCATAATGACTAACACTGCTGTATCAACAACTTCTCCCACCCCTCAATCCACCGTGGAAACCGAGGCCAAATCCAAGAGGAAAGCCTCCACTGCCGGTCTGCCCGCCAATGCCCGTCCTGTAAAACGGAGGGCGTCCAAGGCGTGCTGCTGCTGTCGGGCTCGCAAAGTGCGGTGTGATGTGGTCGAAAATGGTTCGCCCTGCACGAATTGCCGCCTGGACCAAGTAGAGTGCATTGTTACTGAGAGCAAGAGGAGAAAGTTCGTCTACGTCGAATACATGTCTTCCGTTTTCCCTCCACAGAAGTGCCGGCTAACCACGAGCGCGCCTTGTTGCCACTGTTCAGGAAATCACGTGTTGAGGTCGATAATGCAAACCCTCATCAGCTGTCTCAATCCCCTGCAGAAATCCCCGATGACGGGGCTAGTCTGTTCAGGCGACTTAGCGAGTGTCATGGCCTTTCCGACATGGCTCCGGCTTCTCCCTCGCAGCGCTCTGTAGATCTGGATCAGGGGCAGCATATGCCACATCTTTTATGTTCGTATCCCACCTCGATTAGTCTCGGAGATCGTGGCAAATGACCCATCACCACTGTATCATTGTCGATAAGATTCTAATGCGTACTTGTACAGATCAAAGCCAAGCGAACAGAATTGGCTCCGGGGATCGCTATCGAAGAAGAATGGCCCCGAATCCCGCTGTTCCAGCGACGCTTCCTTTGCACCATGTGACTTCGCAGATTCAACAGCTGCTGGACCCTTCCTTTGCCAATACCAGGTCTGGCGGTGTTGTCTTACCAGACTACATCCGCGGATTGCCGCCACGTCTGCAAAAAGAGGACATCGACTATTTGTCCATGAAAGGAGCTTTGACTGTCCCCGACGTGGGACTACGCAATGAATTGCTGAAAAGCTACATCCACTACGTCCACACCTATATGCCCCTCCTTGACCTAGAAGACTTCCTGCAGACGATCGTTCAAAACGATGGCATCCGCCGTATGAGTCTATTGTTATTCCAAGCCGTGATGTTCGCCGGCACAGCTTTTATCGACTTGAAGCATCTCCACGCTGCCGGCTACGCCACCAGAAAGGCAGCTCGTAAAGCTTTCTTTCAGCGCGCACGACTTCTCTATGATTTCGACTACGAAGTTGACCGAATTTCTCTCGTCCAATCATTACTGCTAATGACCTACTGGTATGAGACGCCTGATGACCAGAAGGATACTTGGCATTGGATGGGTGTGAGTTTGTCCCTCGCACACACCATTGGCCTGCATCGTGACCCCGGCAACTCCCGTATGGATGTCCGGCGCCAGCGGATGTGGAAACGGATTTGGTGGAGCACATATACGCGTGATCGTCTGATCGCCTTGGGAATGAGACGTCCCATGCGCGTGAAGGACGATGACTGTGATGTTCCGATGTTGACTCTTGACGATTTCGAGTTTCATCCCTTCTCGCCGGAAATTGTGAGCATGGTAGGCAACTCGGAGATTCTTCAGAGCGTGAGCCATCAGAGAGAGCTGGCTTTGATGTTCATTGAGAAGGCCAAACTTTGTCTCTGTGTGAGCCATGTTCTATCGGCTCAATATTCGGTTCTAAGCCACAAATTTGGTGGAACGATGGAAACCACCATGATGTTGGTACCCAAGAAATCAGCAGCGGAGACCTTCGAGGTTCGTCGTTGTGATCAGGAGCTGGAAGACTGGCTGGCCCACCTTCCGACAGAGATACGCTACGCCCCCGCAGCGCCCTCCAAGTTAAATGAGGCACAGGAAGTTCTTCACTCTCATCGTGCACTCCTGAAGATGGTTTATTTGACCACATCCAGCGCTCTCCATCGCCCTCAGGTCCTACCTGCGATCCCGTTCCCTTCAATGGACGCCGAACTACAGGAGATTTCTAGGAATAAAGTGCGGTTTGCTGCGATCGAAATTACAAATATTGCCCAGGATCTACACAGCCTAGACCTGACCCGCTATTTCCCTACAACTGGCGTTACGGTCCTACTTCCCGCTGTGATTATTCATCTCCTCGACATCAAGTCTAGTGACCACAACGTTCGTATGACCAGCCTTCACCGGTTCTACCAGTGCATGCGCATATTACAACGTCTGAGAGAAATTTATGCATCGGCAGACTTCGCTACGTCGTTTTTGGAGGCTGCCATTCGCAAGGCCGGAATTCAGCTTACAGTAGCGCCGCAAGATGTACAGGCACGGACGAACAGCATAGTTGACACCTCAGCACGCGTCAACACTTTGACCCCACCCCCCGACTCTCTCGCGCAGAAGATCCCTGACTTGACGTATCCGAAATCCGATGGCGCAAGACGTGCCAGCCAGCTTCCCAAGGAGAGCGGTCCTGAGTTCGCATCAACGCCCCCTCCCTCCGACGGTAGCGAGAATGGGAGCACCAGCAACATCAACCCCAGTTATCACCAGGATGCCTTCACCATCCCCAACTTCGATTCGGAGCTGAGCATCAGTGAGCTCATGGATCTGGCGAATGATGCGGAAGTAACCCAGAACGACTTCGATGCCTTGATCAACTTTGACGATGCCGGTGCGGACTTCCTTGCCCCCGATGATGGCTTGAATACCGGGAATGGTAATGGGAAGAACTATGGCTTTGGCTTGGGTACCATGAACAATCTTTCCGATATCATGGGCTTCGATACCGAGAAACAAGGCGTTGGTCTGACCGGCTTGGGAGACGGACAACTTGCCGACGATCGCGCTGCGGCATCACGGAACGATATGAACACTTTCGCAGCCGACCTCGATGCGGAACTCGGCCTGAGTCTTTAAGCGGCTTGGAGACACTGTTGCGACATTGTTTCATATTTGTGCCATGATTTAGAACTCATTTGCTTTCTGCACTGCTCTTGGCGATCTTGTTTGGCCGTTTGTTGAAATAGGCCCCTTTTACAACATATGTATGCATCAAAGGGGAATGGGCGCTTGGCGTTCGCGGGCTTTTACGTACCGGGTTCGAAATCCTGCGAACCTTGGATCGGTTGATGCTTATTTCTTATGTACTTCATGTGCCTGATTTGTCCCCCTGCACGGGGCAATTGTTCCCATTTTATGTACATACAGAGTCGAAAAGTACGACATGAGAAAATGAATGACCTAACGCATGCTACTCGGGTTATAGTAACCTTAGCTTCGTCGGAGAGATGTAGTAGTGTATGTTGATTGAACTATGTAGGGCTGGCAAGGGAAGCAGGTAGATCGATGAATCGAAGAGGATCTCGACTTCTTGTAGACCACCCTTGCCGGGCATTCTTCAGGTATGTCTATGCTGCTGCTGCTCCGATCACCCTTGCAGTGAACACCACCCACTGACCGCTTGGGGGGGTGGGGGGATCTTGTCGCCGTCAATTCTGTGTGGCATCTGTTGAGTCGATACGGTCGGTCCATATCTCTCTCCATACAGTGGAAGCTGACAGCATATGGAGAGGATTATCTGCTAGGATGAAAAAACATACACCCGCAGATGGGATCAATCAAGATGTTATTGATAGGACGTTGTGGAACAAACCGTACTCATACCCTCAAAACTTGCTCAGTCGCAGCAACTTGAGCGGACCGGCTAATACACCTGTATACCATCCAGGTATTCGGTCTGTGCTAGTTTGTTGTCTCAAGTGGAGATCCAAGATGTGGTCATGAAGTACTACAAGTGGTGGAGAGGAGGTCCCGTGCATACCAGTCCCGATCAGGCAGGTGCTTTGGGTCAGGCACTTTCCCGTCTTGTCTGTCTCTCCCTCCACCATCCTTTCATTTACTCTGTCTCTCTTCTATCTTCTTTTTCTCATTCCACCTGTCATTGGTTTCAACGATGGACCGCACATCTTCTCTTGTTTTGTGTCTTTTTCTTGGCATCTTCCCCCGCACCGGGCACTTGAATCATCCTGTTCAATCCCGGTCCCTGCATCATCTTACTCACAGCCACAGCGTCTGCCATTGTGTAACTAACAAATAGCTCTCCACCATCATCCAATACCTGTCCCGCCAAGGAAGTTGGGCCCCCGATACCACATTGACTGAGTCACAATCCTTTCTCAATAGCCTTACATTCGGGGCACGGATTCGATCAGTCAACTGTCACAGTGCCAATTCATCCACGTCCTGTGAGGCACGGAATCCAAACCAAGACACTAAGTACCAAGGTACAGCACTAGCGAGACAGCGTGTTATCACTATTATTGGCAAATTGACCACGGGATTTCTCATGCAGGGTTCGGCTGCTCCATCCACCCCTCCTTTTCCTACCCAGTAATTCCTTTCCGCCTCGGTTATTGGAGGAGATGCTGAGCTGCTTAACTGACGCCTCACCGATCAGGCCGGAAACGGCGGCGGGATACAACCTCGTTTCCACACAATAGTGTTTGTCTTCTGCAAGCTGCACGGCATTGCCAATTGCCGCCAGCATGTATCTTCTATCCACTGGATATGAATTATTCTCCCCTCACACCATGTGGGCCTGCGACTTTTCTCTCAAACTTTGTCGCTCATGCAACGATGTAGTATATATAGCCCTGGCTGGGGTTGGCATCCCCCACCCATCGTATGCTGACCCTTCTCTCCTTGAAGGACTCCTATAGTGGCTTGCGGTGCATGTATAGAACCAATCTTCGAAGATATTTAACTAGGTATAGCTGTGACTGAGTCTGTCCTTGCATTCAACAACACCATGCGCAGCTCTCAGTTGGTGCCCTTATTGGCCCTGGCTGCACTCAGTTATGCTACGCCCGAGAATAAATGGTCCTCCACGATGAGAAGGCAGTTACCAAAAGCACCCACTGGCGTCAAATCGATAAAAACTCCGAACAATGTCACCATCAGGTATAAAGAACCAGGAACCGAAGGCGTTTGTGAGACGACGCCCGGAGTCAAATCATATTCCGGATATGTCGATCTTTCGCCAGAATCACATACCTTTTTTTGGTTTTTTGAGTCACGTCGTGATCCCGAGAATGATCCAGTGACTTTGTGGCTGAATGGTGGCCCTGGAAGCGATTCGTTGATTGGGCTTTTCGAAGGTTGGCCAAATATCGAGGCGGAAAGGACGAATAGCTTGAATATTCTGACGCTTTCACAACAGAGTTGGGTCCGTGTCACATCACCCCAGAGTACGAATCAATCGTCAACCAGTACTCCTGGAACGAAGTCACCAATCTTCTTTTCTTGTCCCAGCCCCTCGGCGTGGGTATGAAATCCTGTTGCCTTGATACATCATGAGTACATTGCTTACGATCTTATCTGCGAAGGGTTCTCTTACAGTGAAACCGAGGCCGGGTCCTTGAACCCAATTACTGGAGTCACCGAGAACGCCTCGTTTGCTGGAGTCCAGGGTCGATACCCAGTTATTGATGCCACAATCATCGGTTAGTTGTCTGGTATGACTCAGTTAGCATTCTCCTCATGTTCCTACTTTATAGACACGACCGATATCGCTGCACGCGCAACCTGGGAGGTACTTCAAGGCTTCCTCGGTGGCCTTTCACAGCTGGATTCTGAAGTCAAGTCCAAGGAGTTCAATCTCTGGACGGAGAGCTACGGAGGGTGAGTGCAGCGTTCAGATCAGATTGACGTATGCTGACTTGATCAAGACACTATGGACCAGCTGTAGGTTTTCTTCTCTGGATGCACAGATATGAAGCTGATGACCAAAGTTCTTCAATCATTTCTACGAGCAAAACTCGAAAATTGCTAACGGGGAAGTGAGTGGAGTCCAACTCAATTTCAACTCTCTCGGGATTATCAATGGCATCATTGATGCCGCCATTCAGGTGTGTAGAAATGCAGCTCGCGCAGAGGTTTTGACGTAAGAGACATCGCTAAAACAATGAATAGGCAAACTACTACCCGGAATTTGCTGTCAACAATACATATGGAATTAAAGCTGTAAGTTTGTTATCCGCACCTCGTGGATTTATATCATTCTTGCTCATACTTGCTAGCTCAATGACACAGTGTACAACTATATGAAGTTCGCCAACACGATGCCCAATGGATGCCAGGATCAGGTTTCTTTGTGTAAACTGACCAATAGAACCTCGCTAGCTGATTATGCTATATGTACAGAAGCAGCCAACATGTGCAGGGACAATGTTGGTGAGTGGTTTTGCAATTCCCCTGCAGGGATGTATTGATGAAGGGCTTCGCTAAGCTGTTGTACAGAAGGGCCTTATTACCAGTTTGGCGGCCGTGGCGTGTATGATATTCGCCACCCCTACAATGTAAGTGACAAGGATAAGGATTGCACTTTCCGAACAGGGACAGAGCTAATATGTCTACCTAGGACCCGACCCCGCCGTCCTACTTCGTTGACTACCTCAAGAAAGACTCAGTCATGGATGCTATCGGCGTGGACATCAACTACACCGAGTCCAGCAGCGACGTATATTACGCATTCCAGCAGACCGGCGACTTTGTATGGCCAAATTTCATCGAGGACCTTGAAGAGATCCTCCGACTCCCCGTACGCGTGTCTTTGATCTACGGCGATGCTGACTATATCTGTAACTGGTTCGGTGGTCAGGCCATCTCACTCGCAGTGAACTACACCCATGCATCTCAGTTCCGTGCAGCCGGTTACACACCCATGACGGTAGATGGGGTTGAATACGGGGAGACGCGCGAGTATGGCAACTTTTCTTTCACCCGCGTATATCAAGCCGGGCATGAGGTCCCATACTATCAACCGATCGCAGCGTTGCAGCTGTTCAACCGTACTTTATTTGGATGGGATATTGCAGCGGGTACTACTCAGATTTGGCCCGACTATACCACCAACGGCACTGCGCAGGCTACACACACGCAGTCGTTCGTACCACTGTCCACAGCGTCAAGTACCACCGTCGACTAGGATTGCGGGGAAATCTCCTTCTTTGGCATGGCTAATGTTGTGTTATTTATTCTGATACTTGTCCTTAACCTAAAAGAGTGGCACGCAAGCTTTCTTAGACATGTTTGCCTTCAACATGATTTATCATACCACGACGTCGTCCTACAACTTGTCAGGTGTTCTGGCAACACTTTGCAGGGACATAAAGAGTCATGTCATATGAAGTCCATTACGGTAATTCGTAACTTGCTGTGGCTAACGTAATTGTGCCTCAGCTAGATGTCGTGATACGCTCCAAAACCCAATCTGATCATGGATATTTAGCGAAATAACAGGAAGGAAAATAAAACATAATCAACCACCAAAAAGACAGAGGCTAATGCCTGGCCATCATGGAACTCCAGCAACCTCTTTCCGCTGAAATGGAATGCGTGTATATAAAAGAAAGCTTAGTCATCATTTCACGATAGCCAACTCCGGGTCCTGCTTCTTCTCGGAAGGATGGTCTTCCAGCGGAACACCCACTTCTTGAGCGGTCTCATCCGAAAAGTTGAGGTCCGCTTCGACGTCGGTATGCTCCTTGATCTTCAAGAACACTACGGGCGACGCGATGACAAGACTGCCGGCGAGCAGGCCCCAGCAGGAGGCGAATTCCGTCATGTAAGGGGTTCCCACGGCATCCATACTGCAGCAAAGTATATTAATTAGCTTCTACGCCTAAATTCGTGAGCGAGGGGGCTTCGAGGACTCACCGCCACATGCCAGCTGCACCAGCAGACTGGATGCCTTTGTAGAAGCCGGCGAAGTTGGCCAACTTTCGAGCGTTGTTAGTCAGTGAACCCATGAACCTACACAGCCCGTATCAGTCAGTAAAATGCAGACAATAAGCGCAGCCGCCAAAAATAAGAGACAACAGCGGCACTAACCAGTATGCACAGGTCTGGAAGGCAGC